CCCTGTCCATTATATGACAATCCTGGTGTCCTGTGTGTGAGAGCACTACAAGTGCCTGCAGCCCGTCCATTATATGACAATCCTGGTGTCCTGTGTGGGGGCACTACAAGTGTCAGCAGTCCCTGTCCATTATATGACAATCCTGGTGTCCTGTGTGTGGGGGCACTACAAGTGCCAGCAGCCCCTGTCCATTATATGACAATCCTGGTGTCCTGTGTGTGAGAGCACTACAAGTGCCAGCAGCCCGTCCATTATATGACAATCCTGGTGTCCTGTGTGTGAGAGCACTACAAGTGCCAGCAGCCCGTCCATTATATGACAATCCTGGTGTCCTGTGTGTGAGCACTACAAGTGTCAGCAGCCCCTGTCCATTATATGACAATCCTGGTGTCCTGTGTGTGAGCACTACAAGTGTCAGCAGCCCCTGTCCATGGACAGGGACTGCTGACACTTGTAGTGCCCTCGCACACAGGACTGTCATATAATGATTAGTAGACCCCCAGCTTTATACCGCGGGAAACAGCAGGTTTTCAAAACCATATTTGCTTATTTCAATACTGTTTATGAACGGTGGATTCTCAAGCGGACATAAAAAAACTGAGAGCAAGCTGGGACTTCTGGACCCATGGCAAGGTGAAAGCTACACGCCATTTAGATTTTTCTTATGCCAAACCTTTTCTTCTTCTTCTATTTTCCCAATGTAGAGTTATCTTCACTTTCAGACTTGTAGATATAAAGAGAGAAGAAATCTCTCCAAAGTGATGTAAATCCTCTCACACAGTGGTTATCAGAAAGCAAGGGTCTCCAATGGGACACGGACTGCAAAAAACAACAACAGGGCATTTAAAGTATATCTAATTTTCCTATTTTTGATACAGTAGGGAGTGGTTAAAAAAACAAACCCTGTCCCATTAGATTTCCACATTAAGTGGGAGAGAATCTCTCCAAAGCAGCGTAAGGCCCCTTTTACATCGACTGATCAGGAGGGGGTCTGTGCACGGATCCCCTCCTAATCACAGCAGCCCAGAGCGGATGTCACCACTGTGACATCTGTGTCCGTCCAGAAAAACAAGATTACTGGACCCCATGCTGTTGTATGGGCAATCGGATATAAATGGACATGTGCCCATTGACATCAGATTACCACCTAACAGGGCACAATCAGGTCCATGGAAATGGAACTCCGTTTCATTTGTTTTTCCGGACCTGGCCGAAGTTGGGGGTAATCAGGTGTAAACAGACACATGGCTGCCCATAGACTAGCAATGGGCATCTGAAAAACTGACAAGTGGACCCGATCGGACCATCCACGTGAAAGGGGCCTCATGAGAGACTTCCCTACACTTCTTGTACTGTAGACACGTCAGGAAGTGAGCTCATGAGACTTCCCTACACTTCTTGTACTGTAGACACGTCAGGAAGTGAGCTCATGAGAGACTTCCCTACACTTCTTGTACTGTAGACACGTCAGGAAATGAGCTCATGAGAGACTTCCCTACACTTTTTGTACTGTAGACACGTCAGGAAGTGAGCTCGAGACTTCCCTACACTTCTTGTACTGTAGACATGTCAGGAAGTGAGCTCATGAGAGACTTCACTACACTTCTTGTACTGTAGACACGTCAGGAAGTGAGCTCATGAGAGACTTCGCTACACTTCTTGTACTGTAGACACGTCAGGAAGTGAGCTCATGAGAGACTTCCCTACACTTCTTGTACTGTAGACATGTCAGGAAGTGAGCTCAAATCTCTTAGTTGTCACCAGAACAGAGAACCCAACACGATGGTTTGCACACTATTCCTGTTATGGTGGCATGTCCTAATGTCACAGTTATCTCCCTTTCAGTCTCAATGACAGAGGGGAATCTCCTTGGTGGGGTCATAGATAAAAAATAAACTGGCCTAGGGGTCTAATCCTTCAATATACTTACAACGCTAAAACACATTTCTCCTTTAGATATACTAGAATCAGTCTATACTCCATGGAAAATGGTAAAGGAGCTTTGCCCTCACATACACTCAGTCACAGTGGTAATGAATCCAGTGAGGGCAGGACTGGAGCCTACGTCTGGAGTGCGGCCCAAAGATGTGTGACCTGCAGATGGGGGTTAGCATGGTGCTTCGTTCAGGTTAGGGGCACAATGGGCAATGTACCCCCGTGGTGACTCTCCCGAGCACAGCCATTTTATGATCACGTTCCACAGAAGCCGGACAGCCGTTCAATGCGAGTAGGCCGCTTCTAGGACACGCGGCAGGTTATAGATGGCCCAGAGCCCTATGCAATGGTAAGAAGGCCATAGCAAACAGTCCAGCCATTGCACAGAACCGGCATGGCGCCAAAGCCCGGCTACACGTTACAGATACAAGGCACCACGCCAGCCCCCATACACGTGTCACACGTCCCCATCCCTCTATACACGGCCTACAGCCCCTCCATTGCCCGTTCCCAACTTCCTCCGCCCCTCCCCCACCCTCCAGGAGAGCGTACAATCCACCGGGCATCCTCCTGTAGGAGAGCCATCCGGGGCTATAGATCTCGCCATCAGCGGCCGTGAGGAGTCTTCTATGGGCGGCTTGGTGTATTTACTATTTTCATGCTTGGTGTTGGCAGCATGCTGCTAGTGGCGATAGTGCCGGGTTGTATTTAAGCTTTGTGTTGTATCCCGTGCCAGTTCGGTGATCGCTCTCTAGGCGGCAAGGATGGGTGTGTGTACAGTGTGGTGTTGTGTGACCCGAAGTGGGTGATCGCTCCCCGTGCCGGGCTTGTGGGAGGCACATTCTGGGTCTGCACTCCGATAATGTGTTATCTTCAGCTGGAAGTACTACTGGTCACACCCTGCACTGTGATCGCCGCCATCTGTGTGTCCCCTGGTGGATCTCCGGTCTCTTGGCCACTCCTTATGCCTGAAATGATCAGCCGGTGCAGCTTCCATCGGAGCTTTTCTGTACAAAGTAAAGATGGCCGCTGCTCCCAGTCTGCTGATCGGACTTTCCTATTCCACAAGATGGAGGCTGCTGATGAGTCACAGCTCAGAAGACAAAAGAGTGGTGGCGGCATGGTGGGTGGAGGGTTCGAGCTCCATGGCTGGATCTGCCTGACTTCATTTTACAACTTCTCCAATGGCGATCGTGTTTTTTTTTTTTTTTATTACATCAGATTGAGTCATGTGGGCTGGGCACCGGCTACATTCTGAAACGGCAATGTTCAATATACTCTGGTGACTCGGCTATATTGTCTGCATGAAGAAGCCTAATCACTTTTCTCTTTTTTTCTACATAGCTGTCCATCGCTAACATCTAAAACTCCACAATGGGAAAGGAAAAGATTCACATCAACATCGTCGTCATTGGACACGTAGATTCTGGCAAGTCCACCACAACTGGACATCTCATCTACAAATGTGGCGGTATCGACAAGCGTACCATCGAAAAATTCGAGAAGGAAGCCGCTGAGGTGAATATCTTTGATTTTGTGTCATAGTGCTTTGTGAATTTAGATTGCTATGCTTCCAGTTCCTGTAAATGGAAACTCACCTGTTTCTATTGCTTTGCACATCTGGGTTAAGGAACAGTCTACCTAGTTTAATAGAGCTTTGTGAATTGAACATTGTTTAAAATTCTTCGATATTGTAAGGCTTTTAGCCATGTGGCTTCATTTTTGTTAATCTCATTTGACTCCCCTGACTTATTTCTTGATTCTATACTTTGTAAATAGGGCCTATAGTCTACTATAGTACTAGTGGCAAGTAGTGTTTTGCAATTAAACTTGAGAGGTTAGCAGGTGTGCTTTAGCGTAACACCTCCATTACAGCTCTTATCTATCTCTGTATAGAACTTTTCTTATCACAAGGACATGTAAGAGTAGCCATGTGCTTGGTTTGTACTTAAGGGTTAAAGTAACTTGAGAACATGACTTCAGTGTGAAACCTTGCCTTAGATTAAACTAGTGGCTAGCTGGTCTGCCTGCATGCTGTATAATTAGATCTTAACTAGGTTGGTAGTGGATGTGATGAGTTAGAAGAATGTAACATGTTTTGCCAAGATACACTGCCATGTCGCTAAAGTATTGTGAATTAAACTAAAAGTAATCCTGGTTGTTTTTTTCCAACAGATGGGAAAGGGCTCCTTCAAATACGCTTGGGTCTTGGACAAACTGAAGGCTGAACGTGAACGTGGTATCACAATCGACATCTCCCTGTGGAAATTTGAGACCAGCAGATACTATGTCACAATTATTGATGCCCCTGGTCACAGAGACTTCATCAAGAACATGATCACTGGTACTTCTCAGGTAAGCAATCCTTTCATATGTCCTAGTGTTTGGTGTTTTTTTATATTGGCTTAACATCATCCCCAACACCTTGCTCTCTATCATGTGATTTATTTTTTTGCAAAGCTACTGAAGGAAAGCTTTTCCTGTGTACACAACCTAATGTATAGCACATGTTTTTACTAAGCTACTTTGCGACAATAGAAGTACTTACCATGTGTCATTTTTTTTTTTTACAGGCTGACTGCGCTGTGCTTATTGTTGCTGCTGGTGTTGGTGAGTTTGAAGCTGGTATCTCAAAGAATGGACAAACTCGTGAGCATGCTCTTCTGGCCTACACTCTGGGTGTGAAGCAGCTTATTGTTGGAGTTAACAAAATGGATTCCACTGAGCCACCATACAGCCAGAAGAGATACAAGGAAATTGTAAAGGAAGTCAGCACCTACATCAAGAAAATTGGTTACAACCCAGACACCGTTGCCTTTGTGCCCATCTCTGGTTGGAATGGTGACAACATGCTTGAACCCAGTGTCAACGTAAGTCCTTTCCTCATAATGTGCACTTGCTTTTAGATGTGGTCTTGCAAAACCTCTGACAGTTGTTGTTTCTGTGCAGATGCCATGGTTCAAGGGATGGGCCATCACCCGCAAAGAGGGAAAAGGCAGTGGAACCACTCTGCTTGAAGCTCTTGACAGCATTCTGCCACCCAGCCGCCCTACCGACAAGCCTCTTCGTCTGCCTCTGCAGGATGTCTACAAGATTGGTGGTATGTATTCATGGTTCAATACCTCAGCCATGATTGGTGCAGATTAGATTGTCCATACATGCTTGTGTCATAAGTGTCATATTTCACTGCTAAGCATATACTGTTCTTTGCAGGTATTGGTACAGTACCAGTCGGTCGTGTTGAAACTGGTATCCTCAAGCCAGGTATGGTGGTTACCTTTGCTCCAGTCAATGTAACAACTGAAGTTAAGTCTGTGGAAATGCACCATGAAGCTTTGACTGAGGCTATGCCCGGTGACAACGTTGGTTTCAACGTAAAGAACGTTTCCGTGAAGGATATCCGTCGTGGTAACGTTGCTGGTGACGGCAAGAACGACCCACCATTGAAAGCTGGCGGATTCACTGCACAGGTAAAACGGAGCAACTAAAATGAATGTTGATGTGTCGAAGACCAATTTAAGCGTGTAGAAATACTAAACCTTTCCTCATCTTAGGTCATTATCCTGAACCACCCAGGACAGATCAGTGCAGGATATGCACCTGTGCTGGATTGCCACACTGCTCACATTGCCTGCAAGTTTGCTGAGCTCAAGGAGAAGATCGACCATCGTTCTGGTAAGAAACTGGAAGAAAACCCCAAGTCTCTGAAGTCTGGTGATGCTGCCATCGTTGAAATGGTCCCTGGCAAGCCCATGTGTGTGGAGAGCTTCTCTGACTATCCTCCTCTTGGTGAGTAGATGGTATAGTGACTATTTCCTTAGGACCTAGTTTGCTTTATGGTTTTAGGTTCCAGTGTGTATGGAAAAAGCAGGTGACTTTGGAAGGCCTTTTACATGCAAGATTAGAAGTTTGTCTGCAACAAGCTATATAACTTAATCTTTATCTCCCAGGTCGCTTCGCTGTGCGTGACATGAGACAGACTGTTGCCGTTGGTGTCATCAAGGCCGTTGAAAAGAAGGCAGCCGGTACTGGCAAAGTTACAAAGTCTGCCCAGAAGGCCCAGAAAACCAAATGAATTCAATCCAGCACCACCTCAGTCTTAACCAGCTGTGGAAGATCGGTCTCAGAACTGTTTGTCTCAATTGGCCATTTAAGTTTAATAGTAAAAGACTGGTTAATGATAACAATGCATCGTAAAAGCTTCAGAAGGAAAGGAATATTTTGTGGACCATTGTTTGTGGCAGTTTTAAGTTATTAGTGTTTTAAATCAGTAATTTTTAAGTGGGAACAACTTGACCAAAAACCTGTCACCAAATTTTGAGACCATTAAACAAAGTTAATGAGACATGTTGTGGCTTGTAATTGCAAATAAAATCTAGTGCTTTCAAATTTTAAGAAATGTTTCAAAATTGCCCTCATGGCATTGAGCTAATCTGGTCAGATATTCTCTTCCTATAAAGGATGTCTACAGTGGGGGGTGTTACACTACCATTTACTGGTATTGGATCTGTAGACTTTTAATTTTGGGTAGGGGGGGGGACATGTTATAGAACCATTATCACTTATTCTGTTTGCTGTGGGGGTCTTTGTTCTTGGTGTATAGCCACATTTGGAAACTCCCAAACTTTTTTTTTTAAATAAAATGTAGGAGTTTTGTTTCACATGAATCCTATATTGTGCTGGCAGACTTAATTATCTGAACAAGATGACCATGTTTGTCTTTCCTAACTGGGTTAAAGAAAACGCCTGTTAAATATAAACCTACAAAGGGGTAAAATATTTAACAAATCTACATTTCTAGATAAGCTGTGTGAAAAGGATCACATAACCCAGTAGTTTTCCTCACATTTGACAGCAAAAGTGAAAATACTGTTTAGAGTCCAACAATTGGCGGATGTATCTGATTCTGGGGTCCTGGACTAAAGTCACATGCATTATTCAATTGTCATTTTTCCAGTGTAGACTACAGCCTGGTAGGTTGTGAGTTCGAGGTGCTGAATTATTGCTTGGGCCCTTAATGCCTCAAACTCCCCCAGCCTAGCTTGCCTGTACTTTGTCTACTAGAAAACCATTTATTGTGCAATTTATAAAGGGTCACATTTAGTGTTGGGGAAATGCATACAATGTTGGTCATCTGAGTATGGTATCCTATAGCTTTCCACAACACACAAATGCATAGGGTCTGTGAAGATAACCACTATAAATATTAGTCATGCATTCTGTATAGTTTTTACTTGCCAGTGGCTGCACTAATTTGTGAAGTGTGTATGGGACCTGCCACAAGCTGGTGTAGGGTATTTCCAAAGTAACCCTATCTGCTTGTAGCATGGTGCAGCCAAACGTGCAACTTTAAAAGCACTCCTAAATGGGAGTACTTGCTAATGTTGCTTTTAGATTCCCCTCCTGGTTCCTTCTTGGGGGCATAGATCTGGTGTCAGATCTTTTGCTAACCCATAAGAACAATAATTTGTACAAATGTTACATCAATTCCTCCCTGGCCAAGAATGTCTATGGCCAGTAAGAAGTCTTGACTCTTACCACTGTCATCTGGGTAGAGTGCCTTGAATTCAGGCCATAAGGACAGCAGCACATCTGTGAATTTTGAGATGCAGATGTACTCCAGTCAGCAGCCTCTGGCTCCCTTCAAATCTGACAGCTTTAGGCTGCATTGCATTCTCATGGGGTATGTTTGGGGATTCTTGTGACTGGAATCTCAGATGTGCCCATTTAAGTGAACAGGGTGACCCAGTCATCTGCTAGCAGATGTCTAAATTTTACCTGCAGTTTGGACTAGATTGTCCTTGTATGTGTGTATACCAACAGCAGGTGTGCCTACCACAAAATTCCCAGCCACAGCATCAAGCCCTGTGTGAATAGGGGCCTTAGTTCTTTGAAAGCCTCTTTAGGCTCACATGTGTATTATGAAGAGCAATGCTGTACATTGCTGGTCATGCTTCCTGTAAATGGCCATCTTGGAGTTGGCTCTCCATCAGTAGCCTTTTGAGCGGAACAAGAGAAGTCAATCTATTCCCCTATTTGTCTGGACACCTAAACTGTGATAAAATGCATTCACTGGTCAGCTGGAAATTCTCCACATGGGTTATTATATGCATGCACATGGAAAATTGGTTTATTACATTGGTGTAGCTTAACAATAGTAGCACATGCATGAGATGGGTCTCATTGATCTAGTTTATGGTATATAGCAAGTATTACAGGTTACTGACTTCAACTGGGCAGAAAGGAGTGCAGTTGAATACCTCTAACTTGCCATAGCAGCACATCTTCTCCATATATGGGCTATTTATGAGGATCATTTGCAGGAAAAGGTTTATTTGTAGATCTTGCAAATAAACCTGGAACTTCATTATCATCCAAGAGTGAATACCACATTCCCCTGCTCTACCTGTACAAATACTTGTTAATTCTGCCAGAAGTATTGTCAGCTTAATGTCCATTATACACATGATTCACAGCTATCTTTCAGACCTCCAGATCCCCCATCTTCTCTGTTAGAAGGAATGGGGTTTCTGTAAGTGCTATATGGTGACAAAGTAGCTTTTCCCTAGCTATGTTGTGACCCTAGGGCAGTATGTGTGTTACTGGCAGGATCACCAGGTGGAAAACAAACCGAATGCAGCCACCACATCCTAGGACCATAAGCTGCAATATGTAACCTTTTGCTCTTGGGTTTAAATATGCTTTAGGGCACCCAAGTGATGCTGATTTATGGGCCCCAGGTGGCCCTCTTCCCTGCAGCTCCCAGCAGTTTAAGATTAAAAAAAAAGTGCTCCCCAGCTGTTCTCCAGTTGGTTACATAATTTTGCAGCAAAATACTTCAAACTAAACCATTTGTTTATTTTTTGACTTCCCTGGTCCCCATCAACATGCTCATGAGATGTTTTAAATAAACCCTTTTGATTTGATTGCATACCTTAGGCCCAAGGTGGTTCGCTCGCTCGGATTTGTCCGTGATGAACTGCCGACATGAACAATCCATACATTCCTATGGGGACCGTTCATGCATGCACCTGATCCGAACCGCCTGCCGCCCAAAATGCTCCCTTTGGGTGGTTTTAATTGCGTCTCAGCAATGAAAAACACCCTTTCCAAAAAATGGTGTTTAAACGCTTCCACCCTGGTGTGAATGGGGCCTTTTTTCAGATCTGGTGGCACTTTAGCTTGGATCTCTGTGCTTCAATATGCTACGCAGGAAAATTGTGACAATTTCTTTGTTAGTGATCACGCTCACCAGGACATAGAGAGCGCGTGAATCTCCCTGATGGGGACACACGCAGCAATAAAACCTTGACTAGTGTTCTAATCCATCCCCACTCTATCCAAAACTATAAAATAAAGATGTTTTGGCTTCAGTCGCACTTTAAGAAATGTTTCTCTGCTGGTCTGTGCATATACCGTAGAATCCCACTCATTTCTATAGAAACAATGTTGATCTGCTGTTCATATGTGGCCTTGCTGGGAGACCTTTTGTGAGCAGGCCACACTGAAAATCTAAGGGAAAGGAAAGTGTAGTCTGATTATGGGGGACAGAGAGTTCACTTAAAGGATGTTTGTACTAGAGGTACAGTTATCCTTTATGAATAATTCTGTATATGTTTGTTGCATTGTTTTTTTTTGGG